TATAGGAGATGGTGGGTTAGGATGAGACCTGGCAGCCCGAGACTTACAATTCGTATTCAGCGATGATTGCAGCTCATCATGAGTGCGTCTGCTCCAGAGATGAACACGTTCTTTATATATTAGAGCAATGGCGGTATAGGAGCTCAAAACCACCACAACAGAAAGTGGAAGCTGAACCCATGGGGAAAAAAAACATTTTTCTCACCTCAACTGTGGCTAACCATTTATTAGTTTCCTAAACAAAAAAAAAAAAAAAGGGAGTCTATTTATAACACATAAGCGGTCTATTATTAAACCGTAAAGGGTATATTTATAAATCATAAAATGCCTATTAAAAAACCATAAGGGGTCTAATAATAACCTATACGGTCTTTTTATAAAAGCAATAAAACCATAAATGGCCTATGAATAATCCATTAAGGGGGTCTATTTATAAATCATACAGGATCTATTAATAAACCATAAGGGGCCTATTTATTAACACCCATTGGGTGTTAATAAACACCCATAAAGGGTGTAACACCCATAAGGGGTGTATTAGTAACCCATCAGATGTCTGTTAAATACCCATAAAGGGTCTTTTTACAGACCATAAGGGGTCTATTTATAACCCATTAAGGGGCTATATGTAACCCATAAGGGGTCTATTAATTACCCATATAGAGTGTTTTTACAAACCATAAGGGGACTATTTATAACACCATAAGGGGTCTATTAGTAACTCATAAGATGTCTGTTAATTACCCATAAAGGGTCCTTTTACAGACCATAAGGGGTCTATTTATAATCCATAAAGGGGCTATAATTAACTCTTAAGGGGTCCATTAATTACCTATAAAGGGTCTTTTTACAGACCATAAGGGGACTATTTAAAAAACCATAAGGGGGCTATTAGTAACCCATAAGGTGTCTATTAATTACCCATAAAGGGTGTTTTTACAGACCATAAGGGGTCTATTTATAACCCATAAGGGGTCTATTAGTAACCCCATAAGGGGTCTATTAATTACCCATAAAGGGTGTTTTTACAAACCATAAAAAGTCTAATGATAATCTTTTAGGGGTCTTGGAGATACGTTTTTGTGTAAGTGGCTACTGTTGCTGGAGGATCTATTGTCACTGGTGGAGATCAGTTTTTGTGTGATGTTCTATGGTTGCTTGAGGGTCTATTGTCACTGGTGGAGATATGTTTTTGTGTGAGGGTCTATTGTTGCTTGAGGGTCTATTGTTACTGGAGGAGATATGTTTTTGTGTGAGGGTCTATTGTTGCTTGAGGGTCTATTGTTACTGGAGGAGATATGTTTTTGTGTGAGGGTCTATTGTTGCTTGAGGGTCTATTGTCACTGGTGGAGATCTGTTTTTGTGTGAGGTTCTATTGTTGCTTGAGGGTCTATTGTCACTGGTGGAGATCTGTTTTTGTGTGAGGTTCTATTGTTGCTTGAGAGTCTATTGTCACTGGTGGAGATCAGTTTTTGTGTGATGTTCTATGGTTGCTTGAGGGTCTATTGTCACTGGTGGAGATATGTTTTTTGTGTGAGGGGGTCTATTGTTGCTTGAGGGTCTATTGTTACTGGAGGAGATCTGTTTTTGTGTGAGGGTCTATTGTTGCTTGAGGGTCTATTGTCACTGGTGGAGATCTGTTTTTGTGTGAGGGTCTATTGTTGCTTGAGGGTCTATTGTCACTGGTGGAGATCTGTTTTTGTGTGAGGGTCTATTGTTGCTTGAGAGTCTATTGTCACTGGTGGAGATCTGTTTTTGTGTAAGGTTCTATTGTTGCTTGATACCACCCATATGGAAGAGAAATATATTTCCAATATATTTATAAAAACATTTTATACATGCAACATACATTTACAATATTTCGGCCTACACAAATATAATTTAACATGTATTCCAAAAATGTAAATTAAGATATATTTTTTTCCAAAGGCATCTATTTAAAAATATATTTTTTTAAATATATTTTCCAGATATTTTTGAACAGCTAAAAAAAATGCATTTAAACATAGATTTTTAAATATACTTGTAAATGCATTCCAAATGACACTTTGATATATATTGCAGCTTGTGTTCTGAATGTATTTTTAATAATATATTCACAAATATATTGAAATATATTTTTGAAATATATTGAGTATGGGCAAAATTGTAGTACAGTCGACCACCACCCCCCTCCTTAACAAACTGCACTCCCTCGGCATCAGAGATTCTGCTCTCTCCTGGCTCTCATCCTTCCTATCCAACGCTCTTTCAGCGTTACCTATAATGCTACCACCTCCCCCTCCCTCCCCCTCTCTGTTGGGGTCCCCCAAGGCTCTGTCCTCGGGCCCCTTCTCTTCTCCATCTACACCTCCTCCCTTGGCCAACTCATACACTCTCACGGCTTCAACTACCACCTCTATGCCGACGACACGCAAATTTAGCTCTCCACCCCCCACCTCACCCCATCACTCTCCGCCCAAATCACACACCTACTGAACGACATATCAGACTGGATGTCGCTCCATTTCCTCAAATTGAACCTTTCCAAATCCGAGCTCCTGATTTTCCCCCCAGCCTGTGCCCCCCCCCTCCCCTCCCCACCCTCTCCATCAGGACCAACAACGCCACCATCAGCCCCACCCCCCAAGCCAAAGTCCTAGGTGTCACTCTAGACTCAGACCTGTCCTTCCAACCCCATGTCCAATCGTTGGCAAACTCATGCAAGGCTCCACCTCCGCAACATCTCCAAGATACGTTCGTTCCTAACCCCGGACACTACTAAACAACTCGTTCACTCCCTCATCATCTCACGTCTGGACTACTGCAACTCCCTCCTCACCGGCCTACCTCATCACAGACTATCCCCGCTTCAGTCTATCCTGACTTCTGCCACCCCCCTCTGTCATTCCCTCCACTGGCTCCACCCCCGTCTGCCAATCCCTCCACTGGCTCCACCCCCGTCTGCCAATCCCTCCACTGACCTCCTCACTCAGTATTCTCCACCCCACCCCCCCATCTGCCAATCCCTCCACTGGCTCCCGATTGCCCAACGCATTAAATTCAAACTACTAACACTGACATACAAAGCCTTCATAACGCTGCCCCAAACTACCTCACTGACCTGATACCCAAATACCACCCAACCCATAATCTTTGCTCTTCACAAGACCTATTACTTTCTAGCTCCCTGGTCTCCACCTCCCACGCCCGACTGCAGGACTTCTACAGGACTTCCTCCATCCTCTGGAACTCCCTACCCCAATCCATCAGACTGTCACCTACCCTCCTCACCTTTAGGTGCACCCTGAAAACCCATCTCTTCAGGGAAGCCTACCCTCACCTAACAGCCGATCTCCTCCACTCCTCCCACCACTCCATCCCCCACAGCCACTTCCTCCTGTACCACTATCCTCTCCCTCCTAGATTGTAAGCTCGAAAGAGCAGGGCCCTCGAACCCCTCGTGTATTGTATTGTTACTGTATTGTCTCATGTACTGTCCCCCACTATAATGTACAGCGCTGAGCAAACCTTTTAGTGCTATATAAATACTGTATAATAATAATAATAATAATATTTGAAATATAGGTCGATATATTTGGGAAGAATATATTACGAATGTATTTTTTAAAATATATTTAAAATATATTTTTCTTCCACGTGGGTAGACATGTGCACAATTTTTGTTTTTGTTTCAGATGCATACGTTCTCCGAAGAATTTCATTTCATCACATTTTTTATGTTGAACCAGTTCATTTTCGGAATAATTTCATATCTTTGGCATTCGTTTTGTATATTCATTAGTCCGGGTGGATTAGAAACATTTTGCATTTTTTTTCTGAAAGATTGCTAATTATTCGATATCTTATCGAATCGCACAGATTTGAATCAGAAGGATTCAGTATTTTTGGACACTATTCTTGTTCAAATATTTTATTGATTTTTAAACAGGAGGAAAAGGAGGGACAATGGGATTATACATTTCTTAGACAGAAAATTGCAAAAATAGGAAAAATAGGCATCAATGACAACAGAGTCTTTACAAGAAAGGGGAGAGGGAGGTACGGTGGTTTTGCAAAAAAAAAAAAAAAAACAGATTTAGGGGACAAAAGATGAAAGAAGCCATTAACCATTTGCCGCCCGCCCTATGGCCGAATGGCGGGCGGCAAATGTCATCAGCGTTCCGGGTGGACGCTATATGGCGTCCTCCCGCACATGCGCAGATTGCGCTCCTGCATCGCGCAATCTGTCACCGGCCGTGTACCTCGGACACGGCCGATGACAGATCTGAGTATCAGGCCCGTTGCCGGTACCATGTGACCTGCTGTGACCAATCACAGCAGGTCACATGACAGTTGTATACAATGGATGGCTTCATTCATGTTATCCATTGTATACTAGTGCCTAGCTGTGAATGGTCACAGTGATCACATGCACATGTCATGTGATTAGCTGTGGCCAAATCACAGCTAAGCACAAAAAACAACAAAAAAAAACCCTGAATGAATCGATGTCATTCAGGTAAATGCTTGCTTATAGCAAAGTAATTCTTTGCTATAAGCAAATTGTGTAAAAAAAAAAAATACTGATCCCTTCCCCAAAGTAGTACAATGTTACTATGGTTACATTGTACTACTTTGGTCATAGTGAAATTTGAAAAAAAAATCTTAAAAAAAAGAAAACATTTTTTATAAAAAATAAAAAATAATAATAAAAAAAATATATATATTTTTTTCATACTGTCACCAGTCAGTGTCCCTGTGTTCACCGCCATGCCAGTTATATGATGACGCTGTACTGCACTGGTGACAATATGTAAAAAAAAAAAATAGTGAAACTAATTTTTTTAATTTTCCGAAAAATTATGACAAAAAAAATACAACTTCAAAAAACTCACCATGCCTCTTATGAAGTATGTCGGACTGTCTACTCTGCAAAAAGGGGTCATTTGGGTGATATCTGTACTGTCCTGACATTTGGGGGATATCTGTACCGCCCTGACATTTGGTGGATATCTGTACTGTCCTGACATTTGGGGGATATCTGTACTGTCCTGACATTTGGGGGATATCTGTACTGTTCTGACATTTGGGGGATATCTGTCCTCTCCTGACATGTATCTATCCTGTTCTGACATTTGGGGGATATCTGTACTGTCCTGACATTTGGGGGATATCTGTACCGTCCTGACATTTGGGGGATATCTGTACTGTCCTGACATTTGGGGGATATCTGTACTGTTCTGACATTTGGGGGATATCTGTACTGTCCTGACATTTGGGGGATATCTGTACTGTCCTGACATTTGGGGGATATCTGTACTGTTCTGACATTTGGGGGATATCTGTACTGTCCTGACATTTGGGGGATATCTGTACTGTCCTGACATTTGGGGGATATCTGTACTGTCCTGACATTTGGGGGATATCTGTACTGTCCTGACATTTGGGGGATATCTGTACTGTCCTGACATTTGGGGGATATCTGTACTGTCCTGGCATTTGGGGGATATCTGTACTGTCCTGACATTTGGGGGATATCTGTACTGTCCTGACATTTGGGGGATATCTGTACTGTTCTGACATTCTTGGACCTCAAGAAATTAGATTGGCTGTCAGTACTTCAGGATTGATCAATATTTCAGATCTATACCATAGTTTGTGAACTCTATAACTTTCCTACAAACTAAATAATACATCCTAATTTGGGTTATTTTCACCAAAGACATGGAGCAGAATACATCTCGGCCTAAATTTATGAAGAACAATTATTTATTTGCAAACTTTTATAACAGAAACAAAGAAAAACATTTTTTTTCCCAAAACTTTTTGGTCTTTTTTTGTTAATTTAGCAAAAAATACAAACCCCGGCGGTGAATAAATACCACCAAAAGAAAGCTCTAGTTGTGTGAAGAAAATGATAACATTTTAGTTTGGGTACAGTGTTGTATGACCGCGCAATTGTCATTCAAAGTGTGAGAGCGCTGAAAACTGGCCAGGAAGGTGTAAAATTGCCCGGTATTGAATTGGTTAACTTAGGTGTATATAAAGTTTTAACAAATAAACAGGCACGCTCTCCAATGTAACATAGGGGGATCAAAACATAGGAGTGTAGAGTAATACAGAATAGTCGGGGGGATTTTTGGACACTATTCTATCCCACCAAGAGAAATGGCATGAGCTTATTGGACAATATCAATTGGCGCCATGTTCATCAGAATTAACAATGGAATGAAATTCGGATCCATTCATTATCCGAATCCAAATTATCAAGCGGATTTCATACCTTGTATTTTTGCCATCAGCCCAGAGCTCCCCTTTAATGATGGCTCTGAACGCCCAGGGCATGGTCACACCACACCGTTCTATTCTCTGTAGGGCCTGAGCTATTTCGTAACTGATCTCCATCAAATTAGTGCTAATTGATTATAATTATCCGGAGCGGAGGAGTGTATCCCTGCTCCGTTTAAGACAAATTCACTAAGTCCCCGAGCTTAAATAAATTATGGCGATGCCTACATTATTCAGCTATTAGATAATTGAAATTTTGTATGGGGAAGCTTTAAGTATAAGGAAAGGTATCTCCTTGGAGACACGCTAAGAGGAAACAGAGAAAACGTTCTGAACATGTGTAGTTAATGCGTGCGAAGGGAACGTTGGATTAACCGTATGCCATTCAGACAAGATAAGTGTGGAAAGTGCTAGGTAACCTTGTATATGAAACATTGTGATTGATCATGGAAGTAGAAAGAAGGATGAGTTGGCCATCAATCAACTCATGAAATTTGCATCGTTATAACTTACATGGAAAAAGGAAAAGAATTTCCCTCCAATTGATTGAGTTCAGGTGTCTCCAGTGAAAAGTACTGTTAATACTGCACCCTACAAACTAATTGTAGACAATAGAGATCTTCCAACCTTGTGGTAACAATTTAGGGAAGACCCTTTTCTGCGTGACTGCACCCGTGTCCTAAGCCAGCTCCATAAAGACATGGGTTGACCAGTTTGGTGTGGAGGAACTCAAGTGGCCTGCACAGACTCCTGACCTCAACCATGACGAACAACTTTGGGATGAATTGGAACAACCAAGGTTATCTTAAACCAAAATCCCTATATAGACATGTGCTGACCAGTTTGGTGTGGAGAAACTCAAGTGGCCTGCACAGACCCCTGACCCCAACAACTCAAGTGGCCTGCACAGACCCCTGACCCCAACAACTCAAGTGGCCTGCATGTACACCTGACACCAACCATGATGAACAACTAGGGATGAATCGGAACAACCCAGGTTATCTTAACCAAAATCCCTATATAGACATGTGCTGACCAGTTTGGTGTGGAGAAACTCAAGTGGCCTGCACAGACCCCCTGACCCCAACAACTCAAGTGGCCTGCACAGACCCCTGACACCAACCATGACAAACAACTTTGGGATGAATTGGAACAAGCCAGGTTATCTTAACCAAAATCCCTATTTAGACATGTCCTGACCAGTTTGGTGTGGAGAAACTCAAGTGGCCTACACAGACCCCTGACCCCAACAACTCAAGTGGCCTGCACAGACCCCTGACACCAACAACTCAAGTGGCCTGCACAGACCCCTGACACCAACCATGACAAACAACTTTGTGATGAATCGGAACAAGCCAGGTTATCTTAAACTAAAATCCCTACATAGACATGTGCTGACCAGTTCGGTGTGGAGAAACTCAAGTGGCCTCCACAGACCCCTGACACCAACCATGACAAAAAACTTTGAGATAAATCAGAACAAGCCAGAATTTCTTAAACAACATCCCTACATAGACACGAGTTCATGAGTTTGGGGTGGAGGTACTCCAGTGTCCTGCACAGACCCCCCCAACACCAACCATGATGAACAACTAGGGATAAATCAGGAACAACCCAGGTTATCTTAACCAAAATCTCTACATAGACATGTGTTGACCAGTTTGGTGTGGAGAAACTCAAGTGGCCTGCACAGACCCCTGACCCCAACAACTCAAGTGGCCTGCACAGACCCCTGACCCCAACAACTCAAGTGGCCTGCACAGACCCCTGACCCCAACAACTCAAGTGGCCTGCACAGACCCTGACCCCAACAACTCAAGTGGCCTGCACAGACCCCTGACCCCAACAACTCAAGTGGCCTGCACAGACCCCTGACACCAACCATGACAAACAACTTTGGGTTGAATCAGAACAAGCCAGGTTATCTTAACCAAAATCCCTATATAGGCATGTGCTGACCAGTTTGGTGTGGAGAAACTCAAGTGGCCTCCACAGACCCCTGACACCAACCTTGACAAAAAACTTTGAGATGAATCGGAACAAGCCAGAATTTCTTAAACAAACATCCCTACATAGACAGGAGTTCATGAGTTTGGGGTGGAGGTACTCCAGTGTCCTGCACAGACCCCCAACACCAACCATGATGAACAACTAGGGATGAATCAGAACAACCCAGGTTATCTTAACCAAAATCTCTATATAGACATGTGTTGACCAGTTTGGTGTGGAGAAACTCAAGTGGCCTGCACAGACCCCTGACCCCAACAACTCAAGTGGCCTGCACAGACCCCCTGACACCAACCATGACAAACAACTCTGAGATGAATCGGAACAAGCCAGAATTTCTTAAACAACATCCCTACTTGTGATTGCACACAGCTGATCACATGGTAAAGGGCTGCTGTGATTAGTGCTTTACCACGATCTGTGATCAGCTGGGTCTATAGGACACAGTGATCACAGAGTATGCTGGGTGTGTACCCCAGAGGGGGAGTACAGGGGACATGGTTGTGGGAGGACATCTATAGGTGCATCCTTACGTTCCTCATACATTACCCTGTCCATGTCAGTATAGAGATCCAGCAGGAGATTTTTCCTCCTTCAGATCTGATGGGTTTTCAAATTGTTCCTTTCATTTGTTGAGCAGTATATTTTTACATGTATGACAGGAATGTCAGAATTGGCCTGGTAGGCAAGCGGTTAAACGTGTTCCAGGTCTGTAACTCACAATGTACTGCAACCACCGACAACCCTGCAGGTATCATTTTATGAAGGAGGGAAATAATAGAAACTCTTCATTTCTTCCAGTAAAATACAATAACATCAATATTAGAATCTGCAGCCAGTCTAATTGCAGAAAGTGAAGATGTTCTCCCCTCTCCTGTGTGTCGGAGGAGGGGACGTCCATGCCCACGCTTCATAATATACGTCTCTATCACCAACATGTTCCATCTCCACTCAATACTATAATGAGCCCTGCGAGAATAAATTAAGGAAAAGCATTCTCCATCAATCAATCTCTCTAATGACTTTTTTGGGAAGAATTCACATTGTATTGAGGTCATTTTTTTCAGCATTCCCAATCGTGGCCTCATCTGCCAGGGCCCCGTGGTGTCAAAGCATGAGCAACTTCATAAAGAAGGTTAAATAGCTGATGGTGTCATACTTGTTGGCATGTCATAAAAAATAAGAGGAAACAATTGGTTTTGAATATAATCTTTCAGAGAAAAGATCAGGAGGAAATGGGAAATGCTATTTTTTAGTCATGATGGATTGTCCAAATAAACAGTTATCTTCTAGGTTAGTGGTCTCCAAACTACGGCCCAAGGACCAGATGTGGCCTTTTGCTTGCCTTTCTCCAGCCCTTGGGGTACTTTTCCTCTCACTGACACCAGTGATGGGGCACTATTCCTCCAACAAAATTCAATGACGGGATACTGACACCAATGATGGGGCACTATTCCTCCCACTGACACCAATGATGGGGCACACTATTCCTCCCACTGACACAACAATGATGGGGAACTATTCCTCCCACTGATACTATCAATGGGGAATATTCCCCCATTGACACCAATGATGGAGAATCATTCTTTCCACAGCTACCAATGATGGAGAATCATTCTTTCCATAGACACCAGTAATGGCACACCATTCCACCCACTGACACCTATGATGGGGCACTATTCCTCCCATTGGTACTATAATTGGGGAATATTCCTTCTACCTACACCAATGATGGAGCACTATGCCTCGCGCTGACACCAATGATGGGGCACTTTTTCCTCCCGCTGACACCAATGATGGGGCACTATTTCTCCCACTGACATCGATGATTGGGAACTATTCATCTCACTGATACCAGTGATGAGGAACCATTCCTCCCATGTACTATCAATGGGGAATATTCTTTCCACAATAATGACACTTTCCACAATAATGGGGAAATATTCCTCCCACTGATACTATCAATGGGGAATATTTCTCCTACTGACACCAATGATGGAAAACCCAATTACTTTC